TGTACCACATGTGTGCCAGTGCCTGCAAAAGGTAGAAGAGGGTGTTGGATCCTTTAGGGCTGGAGGTACAGATAGTTGTGAGCTCCTATACATGGGTGCTGAGAACCAAACTCAGGTTCCCTTGGAATGACAGGAAGTGCTCTTAACTGCTAAGCCATCTCATCATCCCCACAATATGTATGTTTTTAAAGTGTAAAGTTATTTAAAGTTTGAACCTCCAATATTATCTGAGGATATACCCAATTCAAAGTTTTAAGCATTTTTGTTCCATTTGTAGAGTTTGCTAAGAGCCTGCATAAGACCAGGGTTTGGCTTTTATTACAGCTGTTTAAACAAGTTTCTTCAAAGTTTAGGTATTTAAAAATATCTGGTAACCAGATGTATAAAATAATCACCTTTGGAGTATTTCTGGTACAACAAACAAACAAAACCATTCTTTGTTATGCCCTAGGCAGTTTTCACATCTGACAGAATCTGAACGTCTGTCTACATAGCCTCCATGTGTACCTACCTATCCATTCATCTATTATCTCCTATCAATTATGTCCTCTACTTATATTTATCATCTATAACCTGTAATACCCCAACATCTTCTCTGTTTTTGCCATTTGGGTACATGTCTATGCTTTTAGTTAGCTCTTCACATTTGATAGTTATAATCAGCATTTCATCCTAGAACAATGGAACGCTGAGGAGACAAAAGGCAAAGAAAATAGTTTATCCACTTTAATGGAGGGAGACTTTTAATCACTACGGATTCCAAGAAATTTTGGTAAGTTTATTGCTAGAAAGAGAAGGAAAAAATAGCCATAATTCAATAGCATTTACAATCAAATTTCAAATAACTGTCAAAAGTTTCCTTTAAATGCTAATAAATAAGTTAGTTATTCCTTTTCTGTACCAAGGGACTGCTCTATGACACACAGTAAATGCTCTGTAAAAGGAAGTTCACATACCTTTAGGATATGCCTGACGGTAAGCAAAATGGGCAAAGGAGGAATACGAGATGAAGCATTTGCTGAAGGTGCCGTCTTCTTGAAGCCTCTTTGTGTCCTGGGCTTTGAGAATTCTATCAACAGAATGAGTGAAAACAGAGTCCACCAGAGCCCTGGAGAGCACGCCTCAGGGACCCCCCTGACCTGTGTCATTAGGGACTGCCCAGTCAGACCTAGCTCAGTTATTATAATTCAGGTATCTGGAGTCTATGTATCCTGATTGGTAAAAACAAAAGAAAATACTTCTGTGTAAAAACACTTTGAGGGTTCTCTAAATACATCTAATTTTTGAAGTAACACATTAATTCCTTTTTCTTTTCTTCTCTCCTTCCTAATTTTCCTAATTTCAAGGCTTAGTTTCTAGACTACAGTCTCAAGGACAAACCTCCTAAATATCCTATCTGCATAGGATACCTAGGCAAGCATGCTACATTATAACAGTGAAGGAGAATGAATATTCATAATCTGAACTATATTTCAGAACTAACATTAGCGTGACTAAGCTGAGTGTTATTGTATGCACTTTTAATTCTAACACTAGGGAGGCTGAGACTTGGGGGAAAAGGGTAGTCATAAACTGGAAGCCAGCCTGGGATATATAGTGAAACTCCATCTCAACAACAGCAACAACTGGCAACAATAGCAAATCACCATTGTTTCAGACATTTGTTTGTATTTTCTTCCTTTTATTTCCATCAATTATTTTCCTAGCCTCAAGTTTTGGGTTGTAGTTTGATTCTGTTTTTCTTCAAAAATGGACTTATTTTGTGCCCTTGAATCTTTTCTCCATCTTATGCTAAGTTCTACATTAGTGTACATGTTGCATGTTTTTCTTTTTGTTGTAACTTTTATCAAATGTGTTCTTTGATGAGTTCATACCTGTATCTAATGCATTCTAGTTATTATCATCCCACCTCCCTCCTCTCCCCCTTAGATCATTGTCAATACCCTCTTTTTCCCTGCAAAATCCTTTCTCACATCTGTGTCTTCTTGTTCACTTGGATATACTATAAGTTACTTATTATTTCAACTCAATGCACATTCATAAATTTTGAAATTTCAAAGGAAGCTTTCTGTACAAATATATCTTTCTCATAACTCTTGTCCTGACTAAAATGTCTTATGAAAATATTCTTCATTTAACTCATTGGTGATAATCTCATTAATGGGGCTCATCAGTTTCTTAGTGAGCTGGTTCTCCTGCTCCAGGACCTCTGTCTGTATATTGTGCTATGCTTCCTGCAATACAGGGAAGGCATTTGTCAGTCTCTTGCAACCTTTATATGAGTCTATAATCTGTGTTATTTCTAGACTGCTTCTTTGAGGTGGGCTGTCATTTCTCTCTAGGTCATATTTTTCTCCTACTTTGAACACCTATTTGTTCATATCTGGACTGAGAATCTTGCATTTTTGGGTGATGGTTTTCAATTTTGATAATTTTAGCATTTAGGAATGTGTTCCAGGATGCAACTAAGTGTGATCCTTTGAAGCTTGTTTGCAAGCTCTGTGAGGAGAGACAGGGTTGGTTTCTCCAGCTCTACTCCCCAGGCAGCACTTCTGACACAGTCCATGTCAGGAAAGCTCATTATTGTGACTGGCAGATGAAGAAAATATTCCCTGTCCTGTAGGAACCCCTGCTCTTGTTCAGCGACTACTCTCCAGGTTCAATGGCTTCTTCAAAGTTTTGTACATAGTTTAGAGACAGATACCCCTCTGAAAGTTTGAGTTCTGTTTGTCTGTGAAGCTTGCTGGTTATACTGGAAGTTCTAGCCACTTTAGCTTCCTAGAATGTCTATTCTGCATGCTTACAGACACAAACAAGAGGAAAGTAGCTTGCTGAGCAGGTGGTATCACCTGGAAAACCCAGGCTGGAAGCTAGGACATACAGGTAGGACTGGCTTTACCTCATTCTGAGTCACCATCCTGGGACAATTATTTAATACCCACAACACATAATTTAGTTAATTTTTCAACTCTTTAAATCTGTTAATGTGGGAGTAAACTCTACATTACTTTGTCATGGCAAGAAGCACAAGTCTCAGGTCAATTTTAATTTGTCAATAAATCCTGCTCTCTGTTTCCATGGCTGCTTAGATTTATCATTTCAGTGTTTTTGGACTTATTGGATGCCACTTCATTTTAATGATCTTCCCCTCTCCATTTTGTTTCTACTCCCTTCCCTTTATTCTTTTTTTAATTGGTCTTCTAAAGCAGTGTTTTACTATGTAGACCAAGACTGCCTCAAACTCAAGATCTCCCTTTTTCCATCTCCTAAATACTGTCATTATAGGCATGTAATACCACACTTGGCTACGGTGGTCTTATATTAATAATAATAATTTACAATTGATCTGAAATTACTGGTTGTTTTTTTGCGTGTAAAAAAAATCATGTATTGTTTCTTTTCATCCTCACAACAATTTTAGGTGTTTAGTACTGCTGCTAGTATCATTGCCTGGATATAATGAAGTTAAAATTCTCCAAATAACTAATTAGAGGCCCCATACACAGCCTTTATCCTCCAGCAAAGACTCAGACTCAGGACTCTAATTTTTATGTATGTGTTGTGGGGTATAATTTTGGCTCATTTAACATGTAAAGATAGAATCAAGTTACTCTGAAACACAAAGAACTCGACATAGAGCTACAGGATAGAAGCAGACATCAAATAAAACTGTTCATTGAGCATAAATGAGAATGACATTAAATTAGAAAGTCAGTAGGATGGAAATGGTATTAGGGTAAAAGAAGGAGTAATATAAACAAGGAAAAAAGGGCTTGTGCACCAATAATAATAGGTCATTTTGCTAAAAACTGCCTGGCTTATTGATTAAAAGTGTCATGTCTTATTCAAAATCCAAGATCTTAAGATCAAAAACCATTTTGTTTACCCGGCATACATGAATTCTGTCACTCTAAGAATGTCACCCAATTAATAATGTTGTGTTTTAGTGAAAGAAAGCTGAAACTCTTTCGAGAGTTTTTAACCTTTCTTATAATGTGGAAGAGCACAGGATGCTCTTCAGAGCTGATGCTCACAGGTAGATCTGAAAGTGGCTGTGCTCAATTTTTCCAACAACCTCACAGATGATGATTGTCAATTACCATTGCCTTTCCCAGCACCACAATGGTGGAATTATTTTTGAATATTGCTTTTACATTTTCTGATCTAGTATGATTAATATCATTTGTATAAGTAGTTTTCCTTTTAGTTTGGAACAATTTTGCTGACAGTTCATTCTGTTTAATCAAATCTGCAATGATATGGTGAGAGTGGAGTCGATTGGACCATCAAATATCCCTACATCTAAAATGACTCCATACTTCCTAAGTGTTATGAATCTGATATTGTGCTCCATGAAGACTTAAGATTTGATGGAGGTACCATAGGGGTAAAATGGAGGAACAGAAAGGGGAGGCCAAGCAGGGCTCTAGGACTCTCACCTTTATACTAACTCTGACTGCACTGCTTCTTGTCTTTTATCTGTGAAGAAGGATTTGCATTAAATCACTCTCCCTCCCTCCCTTGGTACTGTTCTAATGAACTGACCTGAAAATAAGTGCATTAAGTGGCCATAGAACATAAAGACACTAATTAGTTCACTTGGGGATCAAATCCACGATAACAGACTTATTCATGCTTTTCGCTATCCCCCAAACTATTCAGATAAAAGGAGAGGGAAAAAATAAACCTATCATATATATGACAATCCGTAAGAACAAACACTTTAAGTTTCAAATATAATCTGGTTGATTCTGTCAGAAGGAAACAATTCTGTCATTAGTTAGGAATAAGTAATAATTGAGTCTGGACCAACAGGAAATCTTATTTCACAGCAAAAGGAATGCAAATAACCAGCAAACATAAAAAGATTATCATCTCTTGTCATCAAAGAAATTTATAACATCATTTCAATGAGATGCTATTTTTAAACTCTAAATTTATAAGTGCTTAAGATTACTATATACAATAATAATAGTTATCACTTCATATGCTTCTGGGCTAGTTGATGAATATAGTCACATTATTGCTTACTTTATAAAGAGTAGAAACAAATTATTCTCAGATACTAACTTGTCATAAAGGTATAAGAATAAATGAAGAAATGAAACAAGCTCATTTGATTTAGAACGTCCAGTAAAGAGCTAGCCATGCAAGAAATGTCGAAGTTCTTCAAACAGCTTCATGCCACCCCCTTCTTAGCGGTGTCTTCTTAGTTAATCCTGACTATCACTTTGTTCCAGGAACTGTATTGCCCTTTAAATTCTTTTACTACTTCATGAATACTCCCGTATTCTGTTTATTGCTTGTTTTCTTTCTTTTGGTTTTCAACCTCCCTAGGAGAATTTGAGCTTTATTGAATGCCTCCTCATGCTCAAGAAAAATCCCCTTCACATTAGGTTGGCTGTTGTTTCCTTCACACCCAATACTGCTCCAAGATGTGTTTCTGGAGATGGCCACATAGTTTGGTTTCTAAGAAATGGATTGTGAATGTGCATGATACTTGAAAAAAAAAATGCGTTCCTACCCAACTTCCAACATCCTTGGTAAAGGAACCAATTGTGGAACAACTGGTTTATACTAATTTGGAAGAACTGATGCACATATTATATCATACACATAAATTATAACTATTCCATGTTTAATGACATTATAATAGGGGATAGATATATGATAGAATATGAAGTAAAACATATTCAAAACTACATGATGAATAGTGTGTATTTTGGAAAATAGTTACAGAACAATTACAGAAAAAAGTATTGCAAAAAATTGAATACTGAAGCATGGTAACAAATGTTTCCTTCTTTTGATGTTTTTCCACTTTAAAACCTGTTTTATCTATAAAGTAATTGTGCTATTTAATGAGAGAGAGGAGAAATTAATTGGAAAAATAAAAATAGCATCAGATAAAAAAATTTAAAGCATTTCTCACAAGACAATATTATTGCTCCCTAGACTTATGCAGGCAGGAGCTGGAACTCCTTGCATTCCCTAGAGAAGATTATCTGCTGGGAAAGTGACTATTCTTCAGACTTCCCGTGCTGTTGCAGGATCTGTTTCTTCAAAATGCTACAAGTCTCTTTTTATCATATCCTCTAACCAAATGGACAATCAGTAGCCATATTATTTGGAAACAATAACAATTTTCTTGCACATACACACACATTTTCATTCTTTACTAAGAGAAAAGTACAGTTGTCATTTTCCGTAAATCTCAGTGCTCTCGAATAGAAAAAAAAAATAAGTTGCAGAATGAACATAGAGCTGGCTATGTATGCCTCTACATTATCAATTATTCATGCTTAAAGATCCACAAACACAAAAATGGTCTAAATATTTATGTATATCTCATATATGACTCTAGAGAGATGCTGAACTTATCAGATTTATTGTAAGAATTTAAATCTTTTCCACTTACTTTCAGCAAATAGTAATAATAATAATAATATAATAATAAATTGAATAAAACCTTGAATTTCAGAATTGTGCAGGCCTCAAAATTCGTTTTCTTCTTATTGTAGAATTGAGAAAATTGAGAACCAAATACAACAGCATAAATCTTTTTTCTGAAGACAAATGTTAACACCTACATTTGAGAGCATATGAACAGAAACCACCCATATTGTTTTCTTTATTTATTTATTATTTTTTATTTTACCATAGAATTATATCATTTTCATTCCCCATTTCCCCACCCTTCTTCAAAGACAGTAATAACCAAAGGAACAGAGTTTACTGTGCGACTTTGGCTCCTAAAACTGTCAGAAGTAAACTCATAGTTTCACCATCCAGTTTTGATAAAAAGGGTTGGTTAGAAAAGGTGCAATGAATGGCTTTAGTTGTCAATTTAATCCAGTGTGACAAGAGAGCATCAATGAGAGACTGTCAACATTAAGTTGGCTGTGGGCTTCAATGTGGGGGATTGTTTTAATTAACTTAATATGTATGGAAAGACTCAGTCCACAATGGGCAGCATCACTTCCTAGACAGATGGCCTGCAGTGTATGAGAGTGAAGAAGCCAAGCTGAGCATTATTAAGCAAGCACATGAACATGCATGCATGCATCTCTCTCTGCTCTTAGCTATGAATGTGATATGACTAGCTATTTGAATGTTCTGACTTGACTTCCACAAAATGGTGTACCGCAACCAGGATTGTAAGCTGAAATAAACCCATCTCTCCCCTAAATTGCTTCTTGTCAGTGTATTTTATCAAAACCACAGAAATGAAATTAAGGTAAAGGGTCATTATAATGAAACTCTCTTTCATTTGTATTTTGTTTTTAAACTTTTATTAAATTTGTTCTTTTATAAGGTCATACATATACATAGTATGTTATTGTCATCATCATCCCTACCCTCTCTGAAATGCCTCCATCTTTTTTAACCCCACCTGTTTTCTATAAATTTCTCCCATTCATCTTTTTGTTTGTTTAATGAATCACTGAGTTAAACCAGGGCCATCTGAGTAAACATAGACTGGAACTAAACATTGGATCCTGGTCAGCTCATAATTGGGTTTATTATTGAAGCAGGTGTTGTCTTCTGCTCCAGAATCCATCAGTGACCAACAGCTCAGTAGCAAGAGTTAGGCCCCTGTAAGGTCCACCCAATTTACAACTGACTGTTGACAGATGAAGCCTTGTGAAGGCCCCTCGCAGGCAGCTGCAGCTGGTATGAAATCATAATTATATTAGTAATTTTATGCCCAGAAGATAACATTTCATAGTAAAATCCTCTTTTAAATATATGGACTAATATAAACACTCAGGTCAGTCATGAAGATCTTTTCATTAATACTATTCACAGTATGATTGGATGGCTATTACCTTTCTGGTAGGAAGATATTTTCCCTCTTATGTGTATGTATTTGGTGTTCATGTCCTATGCAATTTCAAGCATGTATAGTTGCACATGTATTCACGTATGTGGAGTATTGAGGGTGCAATAAGGAGTCTTCCTCACTTACTCTCTAATGTAATTAATAGAGGTAGAGTCTCTCACTTGAACCTGGACCTCATTAATGTGGCTTGTCTAGTCAGATACCCACTTCTGGGAATCCCATCACAGCCTCCAGAATGCTGGAATTACAGGTGGGCTACAATGCCCACCTAGTATTTATGTGAGCTCTGGGGGCCCAAACTCAGATGTTCACACTTGCACAGACCCAGTAAAAAGGAAAATTCTAACAGTAAAACATTGTAGAAGGATAAACTTACATACCAAAATTACATATCAAATTATTGGAGAAGATAATTTACATGCATTTGGCATGATAATCTCCTAGGCTCTTTGTGTGCTGTTAAAAAACTCATGATCTCAATATCTTAATCATTTGGACATGTTGCACACTATTGATAGCCTATATGCAGTGTGCATTCAATATTTGAAAACTTATTTTGAAAGGAGAATTATTTCTGTTTTATGCATAAATCTGACAGAATCTTATTAAAGATTTGATGAAACATCCCAAGAAATTATAACAATAGGGCACATATTCCCAATGATAAAAAATTGTGCTTGATTTAAATACAAGATGAATATTAATAGCATGCTTTGTTCCCTTATAAATGCCTTCCCAATTTTACTCCTTTCCCTGGGTCAATGGTCTTTAAGCTGAGTTCTGAGCAGTTTGCACAGTCTTATTATCTGCAAAATTATGCACAAAATCCATGGGTATCCTGTGAGACTCTGTAGAATCGAGTGCATTAATTCCTATTAATTCTTGCATTTGCTCAAATATTCTTCCAGTTGCTATGCCACATGCATTCAATTATGGGTAATGGGGATGCTTTGAAATACCGCATCCTGGTGTCAAATGTTTTGAAAATCTTTTGGGGGACATTTGTTTGCTTTTACTAACAAGTCCAAAATTGTGCCTACTGGGCCTCTCCAGTGGAAACAAAGGTTGCACATTGCTATGAGAAACAATATTGTCATATGGCTGATATCTGTCAAGTGGAGAATAACTCTCAGCTCAGGAGCGAAGAGCAGAAGTAGGAAGGAGGAAATAGGCATTCAAAGGTGAGAACTGCCCTTTTCCCCCTGGAAGATAATGTTTTTTAAGACAACCAGAAGAAAGTTTTTATTTTAGAGTCTCTCTCTCCCCAGGCTTTACAAAATGTAGACACTGTGTTGTCAAGCTACAAAATTAGAGCTGTGATTACCTTAAAAAAGTTTAACTTGTCAGAATTTCCTCCTAGCATGTAAAACAGCCCTTTGTAGTACCTCATGCCACATTTTCACTTCTTTAAAACATACCGTGGAGAGCATCTTGTCCAAAAGAGTCAACATCAATGCTTTTCACATCCTGCCAATTGATTCTTAGAACACTTTATTTCCCACTGGGCAAATCTTCACAACTTTTTGGAGTATGACAAATGCATTTTAGTTCTAAAGTTACCAGAGGACTGGAGAATTATTTGGATTTGGCATTGGGTCTACAAATAAATGTAAACCAATGGATACATGTATGGGATATATACACACAGTACATACATATATAAGACATGTTGATAAAATACAATTTGTGAAAAGTTCGATAAAATAATTATAGGGCTGGAGCAATAACTCAGTGGACAAAAGTACATTCTGCACAAGCCTGATGACCTAAATTTTATTTGAGAACTTAAACAGAAAGCCAGAGGTTGCAGCATGCATCAGTAATATCAGTATTTTTATGGGGAAATGAGAGGTGGAGACAGTAACATCATGGTGAAATGGAAGATGGAAATAGTAGAATTGTTGGTTGCTTGTTTGTTCTTCTTATTCTTTTTTATTTTATTTTTATTTTATTTATTTATTCATTTATTTATTTATTTATTTTGGCTCTTTTGGGGAGGGCCACCACTCAACTCCCAAATAAATCACATACAGAGTCTTATTCTTAATTATAAATGCCCAGACTTAGCTTAGCTTGTTTCTAGCCAGCTTTTCTTAACAAATTATCCTGCCCACCTTTTCCCTCTGGGATTTTCCTTATCTTACTTCTTTAATCTTACTTTCACCCTTACTCAGTGGCTGGCTTGGTGACTGGCACCTGACATCCTCCTCTCCTTGTTTTCTTGCTTCTTTTCCTCCCAGCTGTCTCCTTCTATTTATTCTCTCTGCCTGCCAGCTCCACCTATCCTTTGTCCCGCCTTGTCATTGGCTGTTCAGTTCTTTATTTATTACACCACTGGATGTTTTAGACAGGCAAAGTATTGCAGCTTCACAGAATTAAACAAATGCAACATAAACAAAAGTAATGCACCTTAAAATAATATTCTGCAACATAGAATCAGCCAGAAATTCAAATACCCCTAGCCTAGAATGCACTGTGCAGTCGAAAAAACAAGAAAGAGACTATGGCTCAAATCAGATGAAGGAGAGAACTGACTCCAAAATGTTTTTCTCTGACCTGCACTTGTATGTTGTGGCTCATGCATGCTTGTGATACACAACTAAAGACCTTTTTAAAAAGCATTTTAAAATTAGTAATAGGTGATGAATCAAAAATTGTGATTAATATGAAATGCCTTATCCAGGTATGGTGACTCATGCCTTTACTTACAAGCACTCGGGCAGATGAGGCAGGAATATTGTGAGTGTGAGGTTGGTTTGGCTAAATAGTGAAGCTCTGTCTTACAGGAAAGGCAAGGAACACTCTGAATAGGAGAAACAGATGCAGTAGATTTTTAAGTCAGTAGCTTCCTGCATTTCCATCATCCCAAGTCTCTCCTCTTTAGATTATTTCACTATACACAATATCCCATGCTATTCATTGTCAAAACTTTCATCACCATTTTAAGATCTGATTTTAAAAAACTAAATACAATGCATTATAAAGATCCTAAAAGTTGAAATATCAAGGTAAATATTCAATACCTGGCTACTTCTTATTGTGTATCATTGGTATGCAGCTAAATAATCTGACAAATTGATTGGAAAAGTTTAAAGGGATTTCTTGGTTCATATGACCTAGGATGATCAGTTCCAAATCAGCAATGTGCTATCGAGGAGAGAGAAGAAGAAATATGAACAACTCCTTTACATCACTCTGTGAGGACCTGGCTTTACCTCATCACTGCTTGGAGTGATGTATAACTCATCTTACCTTTTACTCTGTATAACTACAGCTATAATGTATTTCTAACAGACAATTTCAGTATCAATTAAAGTAACAATTACAATTCAGTAACAAATAAAGACAATACCAGTATCAAATGGTTTATCAGAGAACTGTAGGAACAAGAAGGAGCAATGCCAGAAGTCCATC